CGGCTCAGAGCGTGGGGCTCATAACCTATCAAACTCAGAAGAGGCACTGGTGTCCAACAGTGAGCAAGTGGTATTGATAAAGACGAAATACAAGGGTACTGACCTGGTGTCCAACAGTGAGCAAGTAAGGAGACGCTCTGTGGACACCAGGGTTATATAGGTGAAAAGAAATAAGGTTTGGGAACTGTACAGTAGCTCGGAGTTCTCCATAGTAAGCCAAAGAGTAGAGAAAGGCGAAATAGGGGCAAAGTCGCGAGATACTGGATAAGGAAGGTGGTGAAGGTATAAACAAGACACAAGTAGAAGTATACCTCAACACACAATAGCTGAGTGGTTGCAGCGCTCTGGGCACTACCACAAGGCTCTAGGTTCAACCCACACAACAGGCAAGTTTTACCTCTTTTTACCCAAGTGTCCTGGAATGCTGTGAAGCGTACCAAGGCCACTGGGCTGCTGTGCCAAGGGCATAGGAGCGATGCAGAGGTGCTGGGCGCACTCTGACATGAAGGCAGCAGGAAGGCAAGTGGTGGGTAGGGCAGGCGGGGTGGCAAAGGCGGCAAGGGTGGCAAGGGGAGCAAGGGCAGGAAGGGCAGGAAAGGGACTGGCAGCGGGAGCGCCAAGGGCAAGGAGAAGGGACCACCGCCTCCGCCCATGCCCAGCAACAAGGAGCCCCCGGAAACCATCTTCGTCAGCGCCGACAGGCATGGCCAGTGCAGGACCCACGATCCGCGGTGCATCCAGATCAACAACCAGGCCTGTACCTGGTGCAAGGCAAAGAAGACCAAGTGCAATATCCCGAAGTCCCACAACGCAACGCGACCCCAGTCCAATGCCACCGCCACTTGCTACTGCCTCGGGTCTACACCATCCAAGAAGGCGATGCCAGCAAAACCTTCCGGCACCAGTACCTCAGCAAGTGCGGTTGCTGGCCCCTCCAGAAGCGTGATGTACCGTCCACCCCGTGAACCTCCCAAGAAGCGCGAGTACATCAAACTTGGTAAGCCGGATTTGCTCACTACTCCTCTGCCCCATCTCACATTTGTCAGATTCTGATGTCGAATGGGTTCCAAAAACTCCGGCATCAGACAGCGGAGACAAGGACGCAGATGGAGAGACAGACTGGGAGGAGGAAGACAGAGAGCAGCTGGAGGAGGCCAACGCCATCGACCAAGTGCAGCTTGATGCAGCTGAAGCAGCAGAGGTCGATGCCCAGCTGCTGGCATTGGCCAGGCTGACTGACGCCCTTGCTCGCCACTAGGTATTCTCCCCCTCAGTCTCCCGGAGCTGTAGTTAGATCATCTATGTTACCATCTTACATGTCAAATAGAGCACCAGTAGTCTACTAATCAATTGTGAAGTGCTTCATATAACTAACAATGTGTGATAAGGTTGAATCTGTGTCCAGTTGCATATGTGTTTAAGTGAGCTAGCACTCTTCCAGCCAGCATGATCACAAGTCTTTCAATACAAGTCCCTTGCATACAGCCGGTTCCAGTCAAGGAAGTCGTTACTATTGTTTGTCAGGGCGGTAATGACCATGCAATGTCTTGCTATTCACTACTACAGTATTCATGTTACATACATCTGTTTCTGACACCTTCCGGAGTCATCATTAGCTGTGCCTACTGTGAGAGATGGAGATTTTGGCTGGCCTCAGGCCGGTATGTGACATGAGTAGCTGTGTGCAGGAGGGCTCTCTGTGGGAACCCGGGATTCTAGTGATACATATTCCATACTGAAGATCATGTCAGGTCTGAGTGCTTCCAGAGGCACCTCAGCACCTCATATGCATGCAATAGCCATGTTAACGGTAAAGCCTTGGTAATCTACAATACTAACCCATATACTACTAAGCCACAACCATTAGATACATGTACTCAATACCGGCTGAATTCTCTAACATACCTGGCTCCAGACATGATGGGTATCATTGTCAAAAATGCCTCTTGCTAAACCTAACTCGGACAAACAATGCATTATTTATCGCATTCATTTTTGACATGACCAGGCTTTGGCCCTATCTATTACATAAACAGGCACGTGACCAAGCACGTGATGGGTCTGGACCATGACATCATATGACGCAAGGATCACACAATATGGTGTGCTTGTATTACTAAGTACTTGTACTCCTAATTAGGCAGGAGCCCTACCTTTAGTTACATGGTCTGTGCACAGCTGTCCAGTAGTATATAAGACTGCAATCAATGACCCAGAACTCCAAGAGAGTTCTTTTGGGATTTCCCCTTAGCTCTATTCGTAAAACCTAAGTCTCAAGTCCTCTTGTCGAGGCATTTACTTCTGCCCAAGCCCCATCTAGGGTTAGGGTTAGTCTTTCTCATTACCACCTCTTCCTGTTTGCATGTGCAGTGACTCCCCTAGTTAAGGGTCGCTCACAATCATCCTGACCCAGTATATGCTGGCTCCTAACATGGACCAACCACACCAACATATGCATGCAGCCTATTCGAGCTTTTATTAGGTTGACTCACTACTGAGCTAAAGCTAAATGGGCTACGCACAAGCATTCACCTCAGGTCCCATCACTCACCTGACACTGGCTACATAGGCCTGGTCAGAGCCTCCTTCCCTACTGCTATGGCTGTCTCGACATGGCTGGGCATCCCTCTCTAGAGTCTCTCCCCTGCCACCTGAAGGCCACTCTGAGATCCACCAAATGCCTGCTCCAGAACCCTCTCCTGGAGTCATGGGGCTGCCTTGACATACACTGCATGCACCACCCAGAGCGCTTCTCCTGTGGTACCATGGCTGTCCCAAAATGCCCTATCCATCTCCAGGGCCTTTCACCTGCCACCCTTGGGCCGCCCTGGCATAAAGTAGATGCCCTAGCCGGAATGGCATGTTGACTAGGGCCGCCTTGACATCTACTGGATACCCTAGCCGGAATGTGAAGCCTACTGTCCTATGGTTGTCTCGACACCCAATGGATACCTTGGCCGGTGGGTGTTACCTCCTGAGGCATGGCCGCTTCGACCTGGTGGTGGTTGGCATACCTATGCGCATACCAGCGGCAGCTCCCCCCCAGGCCAGAGTGGCGGCCGCCTCGACACAGGCCTGTAGGAGGTCACCTACCAGGCTACCCAGCTGGTGGGTGAAGCAGCCAGCATGATGAGGTCAGCTGACTGCCGGTCACTGCTGCCCTGACATCCTCGGGTGTTTGACCCATCTGCTGACTGGACATACTTGGAGACCCGGCCTGCATATCCGGGGTGTGTACCACCAGACTTCTTCTTTGGGCAGGTATTTTTGAGGTGACCCTTCTTGCTGCATGTCCAACATGGCCCATGTGGCTTCTTGCTCTTGCCACCACCCTTTTGCTGCTGCTGGACTGTGCTCCAGTGTAATAAGCAGCATCTCCCTCCTTCAACATGTTCGCACATTTAGCAGTGCTGTGAGATGACTTGTCAGCATCAATGCACATGTACTAATCAAGTATGTGATGCATGAGGGCTGCAGGGGTAATGGAGAAGGTGGCAAGACCTTTGTGGACATGAATGAGGACATATGTGTGGCATAGTGACAAGGGACTGACTGAAGGATGGTGGAGATGTATTCCTCATTGGTGACAGCAACACTACACTTGGCAAGGGTCACTTTCTTTGACAAGAGCTCATTGAAGAAGTGAGGGATATCACCCCTGTTGGGGCCAGCAGTTGGAACCGTCTCAACCGTCTCTCTTGCTTGCTGTTGGACAACAGTGCCTCTTCTGAGCTCGTTCTTAGCACATTGAAGGGTGAAGCACTTGTGCTGTAGAACGACAAGTCCTGGTGTTCTCCTCCTGGATGAACGCTTGCACCACAGCATCCTTGTCCAGAGTCTGGAGCATGAGGGCAGAGACAAAGTGGGAGTACTCCTCAGGGTGTCAGAGTGCGCCCAGCACCTCTGCATTGCTCCTATGCCCTAGGCACAGCAGCCCAGTGGCCTTGGTACGCTTCACAGTATTCCAGGACACTTGGGTAAAAAGAGGTAAAACCTGCCTGTTGTGTGGGTTGAACCTACAGCCTTGTGGTAGTCAGAGTACAACCACTCAGCTATTGTGTGTTGAGGTATACTTCTACTTGTGTCTTGTTTATACCTTCACCACCTTCCTTATCCAGTATCTTGCGACTTTGCCCCTATTTTGCCTTTCTCTACGCTTTGGCCCTAGATAGCTGGAATAGTGCCTGTTGGCTGGTTTTGGGCCTCTTTGGTGTGTTTCTGCCGCTCTCAGCGCTCTCCCTGCGCGCCCCTCGCTGTCCCTCGACTATGCCACACTCCTCTGTGAAGGCAAGGAACTCGTTGGACATGTACTCGCCTCCCTTGTCATCCTGCAGGGCCTTGATCCTGCGCTCACATTGGGTCTCAGCGAAGGCTTTGAACCGTTTGAAAGCAGCAAAGACGTCAGACTTGGCCTTGAGAGGGACAACAACACGGTAGCGAGAGTAGTCATTGATGAAGGACACCCAGTAGCGATAGCCAGACATGGAGAGGTGGCCATCATGGACATCTGAGTGCACAAGCTCGAGGAGGGCAGTAGAATGCGAGGGAGGTGGAAACGGGTTGGCACACTGCTTACCTGCGAGGCAGGGCTCACAGATAGGGTCAGGGCGCTCCTTGGAGTCCAGCTGCATGCCAGTGACCCAATCGCGCTCTGACAGAGCCTGGACCCCCCCCCCCAAGCTATGGTGGGCCAGTCTGCGATGCCAGAGGGACAGGTCAAGAGGCAGAGTAGAGGATAGCTGCGCATACTCGGTCAATGGCTCTGTTACACCG